ACACTGTGAAAGGAGAAAGAATGTCTACTCTATATGATGGCTTTTAAAAAATCAGAAAAGCAAGCAAAATCCATTTCTTAAGCAAACATTCCATTTAAAAAATCACTATATGTTTATAGAAAAGATTTTTTAACAAAGGTTTAATTTAAAAAAAGTTAATAACTGGGTATTCCAGAAGGTTTGAGTCATCCACAGTAATAATTAGGGGTTTTGTTCCATACAAAATGCTTTATTTAACCTTCATGCCTCCATTCAGATAATTATACAAATGCATACATTTAAAGGTTTAAACTCTATTTCAATTCACAGCTCAATTCATAGGAAAGTTGAATACAGAAAAGCAATGCACCAACAAAATATGTCTGAGACACCATTAAAAACAGTAACACTTGTTCATTTAAATCTTTGAGAATAGACTGGAATAATCATCCTCTGACAGAATTTCATTAGGGGACTCCCTTTACATTATCATAGGGCAAAAAATAACCATTTTACAGTAAGACTGAGTATATTTACAATACATACACTATACATAAATACAAGAACAACACTTACATAATATTAATAAACTTATAACATAGGTGTTGCCTAAACACTACGTAGTATATAAATGCAGAGGAAACTATTGGGAAATTAGATCTTCAGATGATTACTTTTGTTTTTGAAGAAAATTAATTTTTGCGTTTAAAAGCTTTTGAAAAGAAGGCAAAAGAAAAGACTTAAGAAACTAGTATGTTTGCTTCCTAGCACTGGTATTTTTATTCCTTTTAAGTGTAGGACCTCTGTTGACACTATTATCTCTATGGGGTTACCGATAATGACCCTCCCTTTTGCATCTTATCTAGGAAAAAGATTGAGGTGCTGTACATACCAATTCCATTGCTGTGAAGCTTCGGTCCCAAATTAATCACTTTTTGTAAACTAAGGGATGTTTTTGTATTTTTACACAGGAGGATCAGATGAACGCTCATTGGTACATACAACGATAACGACCTGATTAGAAGGAACAATTTGGGGCCAAATGCAACCCCATCCTCAGGATTTCGTTCAACTAATGCCATAGGGGAATTCGCTTCATCCATAAGTGACTTGGCCAAGAATGCTATTTTTCATTATTGTTGTTTCTTCCTAAACACAGCTGAAAGAACTTTCCAATGTAATGGTATTTTTGACCCCACATGTTGATAGCAGTGTCCAAATCTCTCTCTCACTTGAAGTGCACGAATGCGTGTGTCTGTGTGTGTGGGTTGAAGGTCCTAAGGCTGATGGTACACGAAACTCAAGTAGTTCATTACTATCTCTGTGTATATTCTATTGCAAGCGCAAATGGGAGAGAAAACTTTTTAGGGACAGACAGCAAGTCGAGAGCGCATACTGTGTAGGTGTTCAGCGGAGAACTTACATTACCAAAGAAGCAATGTATAGGATGATAAGGAAAGAAATAAACTGTGGGGTTTTTTTAATGAAAAATAAGATGCAAACGTAGCAGTGAAAAATAGTTTGAAACCAGAAACGACAACATGAACTCTGAATTGTGAAAGAGATTAGTTCAGCCGTGAAGATTATGGCTCGAACTGTCTTTCCAAAGAAGCTCTTTACATCTAGAAAGGCAGGAACAGGGAGAAAAGCAGTATCCGAACCTACTTCTGGATTTCACGGTTCATGCTTATGACAATACATCAAAGCCGTCACCTGTGGTCCCCTACCAGGCACTGAACTATTGTTTTTTAAATGCAGAGGTCACAGCATGGAGCAAGGTTTAGCAAGTCAATGGGTGAACCACCATTCACCTCTTCTTTTATAACTGACAGCATCTTGGCTCACTGAAACTTTTGAGACTGAGCTGGGGAAGCTGTTGCAGGTCACACATACAGACAATAGGACCTCAAATAATTTTTTCAATTCCTGTTTTCGTAATAGCTAAAATTCACAATCACAGTTTTGCTTGTCTGGAGGACTGAAGAACTGTGTACTGTATAATCTAAAAATTACTAAAAGGGTAACTCAGTTTTATGTCATAATTTCAAGTCAGTAAGCACAAGCTGCTATAGAGGTATGCTGGCAAATCAATAAAATTGAGAAAAAAAATCTCTGTATTTGTTTTTCAGAAAGAAGGAAAAAAAGCCTGGCTCATTTTGGGATGGTGAAGACAAGGTGCCCTTTCTTACGCAAGAACTAACACAAGTAGGGCTGCAGTCAGCCAAACCTCCCAACTCTGCAAGTTTTTAAGGGTGCTTCCTTGTAGTGTTGCTGCCCCAGAACAAAGAACCAAACCCTCCTCTCCAACAACAGCTCAGGTACGAGGTAAGAAACTAGTGTTTCCTTTGCCCTTCTGATGACACATTCCCTGGTGCCCTCCTAAAATCCCCAGCATGAATTGAGTTCTTTTATGTGCTTAGTATCTGGAGATTAAGCTCAGGATGACAGAATAAGTATATGCATGTTCTGATGGGATTACTTCCACCGGTGGCTAGCATTTAAAAAAAGTTGTTATTAAAGTAGCCGTCTTGTCACATGATTAACTGACGTGCATAAACGTCCAGTTTTTACATGCGAGTCCATGTGCTTTTTTTTTTGCACCTACACTTTCTTCCGTATACAGTGAGCGTCTTCGTGCACACCCAATCCTGCCTTGGTGAATAAAAAAATGAACACCCATCCTCCCGCTCCAGCAACAACCCACCGATGGCAGCAAAAGTCTAGGCAAAATCTGGAATTTTTCAAATACAAAATTCTGCCTGGATAAATGACAGGTAAAAATTTAGAGGATGGAAAGCAATCTTCCTTGGCAAAGGTATCGGGACAACCAGTTACATTTTGATCTCCAATAAATTCATTTTTAGAAACAGAAGAAGCAAGAGGGATGGCATTACACTGCTATTTTAAGAATCCATTAGCAGCAGTTAATTTTTTTTTTTAAACCTACCAGATTAAAAAAAAAAAAAACGAGGGAAAAAAAAAAAGTGGAAGAGTCACAGCTGGCCATTTCCTTGTAAGACCAATTAGTCTATTGATGCAAATGTTTAGGTCACTCAATATAAAAATCTCCTGACTCCATTTTAGGAATATCGACTTCTTGTTTGCTACTCAAATAGTCTTTAGACTGACAGTCCCAAATTTTTCACTCATTTGTCCCCAAAAGAAAGAAAAGTGATATATTTTGTCCACTCCTGAAGTCAAACAGTTCTAAGATGATATTAAATACTATGAACATTACATGATGAATAGAAGGAGACATAAGGTGAACTCTGTCTTTCCAGAGTTCGATGCAGAGGATTTTTCAAGAGAATCCCCATTCTACCATATACCCTAAAAAAGCTCCACTGGGTTTATTGCTGGTTTTTGGATTATTTCACTAGAGAATACCCTGGATACATGGGCACATCAGACGTAAATTAGGAACGAATCCCCTAAAACACTGCTTGACAATGACCTCCATTCACACCTACTGAGAATTGATGTGGATACGAGTCATTTGTAAGCTAAGATCCATTTTCTTCTTACAAGTAGATGACAGACGTTATCTGACAAAATAACTAAAACCTCTAATATAATATCTCAACATGTGAAAATACAAATGGCACTTTGTGTTTGTTTCTGTGCTGCATTATTGTTCTCCAAGTAAAATATCATTTTCACCTTACTGTTAACAGAATCCTGTAAGTTATTGCTGTGTAAAAGTATAGGAACATCCCATCAGTTCTAATTACAGGCACTTTCAGTTTCTGTTTTGTCTTTTAAAATAGATTTTAGGCTATCTTGCTGAAGCGTATGCGCATTTTAAATGTCACAACTGTCCTGCTACAATTGATTTTGTTGACATGCTACTGCACCTAGAAGACTAAACTCCCCTGGAATCAGCAAAGAGCAGCTGCCTATTTCAGCTCTGCAACCTTTATTCAAGAAGCATTGTAGTCAGGGAAATACAAGAAGAAATAAAATCAAATGAGAGTTTGCCATTACTGTATCTGCAGTTCACTGTGAAATGCCAGAAGGAAAAAAAACCCCACAAAAACCCCAAAACCTTTCATATGGTTTTCATTTTGATTAAGTGCTTTTTTTCCTTTATTCAGTCAAAGACATTCTGAGTGTTGACTTATTCGACATTGAAGGACTCAATACAACTTCACTATATCGCATGCAATCTGCGAAACAGCAAAGAAGTGGCCACTCCATTTTGCAGAGAAAACATGCTCTGACAAAACAGAATGATTTACCTCTTACGTTTTGTGTTTAAGCTTTGCAAGGCATTATCTTACCCTTTTTCCTGATGAAAACTAAAGGATTTTTAAAAATGTACTTCATTTATCCTATTTACACCCCATGTAAAATTGTGAGTTTGAAAATACTTTTCCACTATCACATATATTACAGAATATTTAAACTGTTACAAGTATAGTAAAATACTTTCAATGTATTTTGATTTCTAAAGATGCAGTATCCTTATAGTTACATTTTTGTACTAAAACCTGATTTACTGCGGAAATCAATCAGAATTTAAGCATTTTTAAGGTACCAATGGGCTTGAATTCATAAGCATACATTACACAGCAACTGTTACGCTATAGCGGAACTGTGAAAATATAACAATCTTTAAATTTCTTTGTGCACTTCTACAGTTATAAATCACAGAAAAAGGCATAATACAATAACATGAGCTGGTTTCTTAAGAAGGTAGTATGTTCTTTTACAGTGTTTATTTCCAATTCTTCCTTTTCTGTTTTTTTTTTTTTTTTTTTAAACAAACTTGTTTATTACCTGCACATGGGTGGAGGCATGTGGAAGTGCTGGGGTTTATATGCATGGATGTATGGATGAGCATGCGGGAGTAGGGTGGATTTACTGAATGATCTTTAGACTTGTCTGCTGTGGAAGATGCAGTTTCACACACTGACCTTCCCAAACCAAAGTTCAAACTTAAAAATAAGCGGGATATTAATGGTGAAACTTACTCCAATTTTGAGGTACCCACCTTCAATAAAGAAGAAAGAGATTTTTTCCATTAAACAGCATTTATTATCAGAAGATAAATTTATAAATGGCAACTAGAATACATTTTCAATGTGGTTAATGGAAAACGAGACTTATGATCACTGTTATTCCCATTATTAAAGGGGAGAAAGGTTGTCCAGCTATTTGTCCATGCTCTGCACTGTGAGGTTACCCCAAACATCAACATCACTGATGTAATTTTTAACACTGTTAATTTTGTTATACATTACTCCAGCAAATAATCATATATACAAGTCAGTCTAAATCTATTTAATTAATTGTGTAAGCATGATAGAGAATAAGGAATACTGCATCTTCATCCCCAAGTACAAACTGCTGTTGCAATGAGCCAATTTTACAGTGCTGAATAAAACAGGAGCTCAAAAAATAACGACAATTTAAAATTTAAAAAGTTCTGTATCAAAGCTGCTTGCTCGTTATGTTTTCCTATAATGCTGGCTGCTGAGATTTCCTGACAAATCCATTGGATCCTTTTGGAAACGTTTGAAATCTGACACTTTGTGGCACGGTTTCCCTTGTAAGCTGTAATGCGCATGGTAGATATTACCCATCCTTTACTCACACTTAAAAGCATAAATTTCTGTCTTTCCAAAAGAACAGGATACTCTATATTTGTCTCTCCCAACCGCTCAATTAAGATAATTGACACAACACAATTGTGTTGTGTCAAGATGAGATCTGGTACTTCTGCATGCTACATATGATGTAAGTCTTCGCCATGGTTATGAAATGTCACAGACCTGTGGTGGGATACCAGGATTTCTGAGGAAACTACCCTGGAGCAATCGCCCTCAGTCTCTGCACAAGCACAGAAGTTTGGCGGGTCTGAACCACAGCCACTGATGGAAGGACACCCTGAGAATCTGGGGGACATCGGCTCCACATCCAAACACCCTCCTCCCACAGAGTAACTTCTCTTAAAATACTTCTGAAGCGGAAAACAAACCAGAAAACAACCTCACGGAGTATTTGGGGCCAAAGCCTGTGGGTGCTGGTACCAATGAGAAACTTGCCAAGAACCATACTGGGTACTTGAAACCCAGTGGTGGACTACTGCTGGTTGTGTAATTTATCTAGAGGCAACAGCAGCATGAAAAGCCCTTACACGTGTGCCGGAAAGGTTGAGGATATACTTCCTGCCTGTGAAATAAGAAAATGTAGTGTACGTTCCTTTAACTTTTGGCTTCACTCTGTTACCATTGACACGCTCTATGCCTGTGTCCCTTGACATGAGTGCTGCTTTATCCCTGTATCACTTTGGGGTTCCTCGAATAAAACCAGACCCTCTTTCTGTTGCAGTGTTTCCTGTGCATAAAGTAATGGGCAACCAGCTGAAAGACAAGGGATTCACACAGACCAACCTTGGCCTTGGGAGAGGAGCGTCCCCAGGGTCTGTGATACATATGCTCCTCCTTGGGGCAGTTCAGAGCTGAATGCTGGAATTTAAGGCCTCTCAAGTTCTCTCTTCATAGACTACAGAGGAAGCCCAAAGAGGACACTGGTCTCTCCCAGCCATACCCTGCCTTTGTGAATAACATCAGAGATGTTCTCTCTCACTGCTCTTCTTGTACGCTAACAGAATGGCCTTAAGAGCTTCTGGTCAAACAAACTTCATTTTCTATGGGAGAAAAAAGATCACAGATTCTGAAAGGAATTCTGTATGCCATCGGTTCTTCAACTGAATTACTGCTATTCAAGTAATTAGTCAGTAAAATGTTCTTGGGCAGGAAAATAACTTTATCAATTGACTTCCACCTGACCTGACTTCTCTCCCTAAACGCTGAGAATGACAGATCCATTTAAGGGGACAATATTGAAGTACATAAAAGACAGACCTCAGACGTAATCCATGAACCATCTCACGTACAACACTGACAACCAGTTTTTTAAACCAACAGCAGTAAAGCTGCTGGTAAAGACCCAGTTCTGCTGCCCCACAATGCCTCATGGCCTATCCAGAAGCCCTGATCCGTCGCAGCCTTTCCGTGCTTTGCACAGACACTTAGTGCCCCTGCTTCATTCCCGATTTGGAGCCGGATACTAAACCGTTGCTGAATTTTGTGGAAGTTGATTACCAACACAGTCAATGGGAATTGACAGAGGCATTTTTCCCACAATGGCTGCGAATAATTTGTCTTGGGTTTCTCTGCTGACCAGTCGGCAGAGGAGAGCCTGAGCTTTAACAGTATTGAAGTTCTTTCAGAGAGCTGATAAACTATCTGGTACCGGGGAATATTAAGAATGTATTTAAAGACAATCAAACTCTGGGGCCTGTGAATGCTGTTATGAAGTATTATCCCAGTCATATTAATCCTCAATTAACTGTAATTGCTTTCAGTATTTGTATGGGTACTCTGTGCTGTTTTTTCTTTAAGATTACCTCAATTTCAGAATCCCCCCAACATTACTATGGTTACTTCAGGAATCAGAAATTAATTCAGACTGGTCAAACATTTAAAAATGAACAAGTGGCATCACAAGTTTAATCTGTGCAATTCCTGGAACCAAATATTCATAATTAAATGCATTGCAAAAGACTTTCATGTATACATCTTTTCTCTCTAAGCTATAAAACTCTCAACACTTAAAACATCTTGCCAAGCCTCCTCTTTGTCAAATTTAGATGAATAGGCAGATCCTTGTGAGGAAAGAAAACAGAAAAACACTATTCTGTTTGCATGAACAACTGATGACTAAGAGTTTCTCTCTTTCCTACATAATTCAATTAATACAAATTGGTTCACAATTACAGGGCTGTATGGGAATGATCAAGAATTTCCTTTTATTTAATCTGAAAAGGCTTGGATTGAAAATCCCAGCAGGGGCAGCCACTGGTACCCATATAAAGGGCCATTTATATCATACTAGACAGCTGGCAAAATCTTGTTATTCCCTAACGCCCAGGGAGAAACCTAATGTCTTGCAGAGCACCACTGCAGAACCATTTCGTCTTCCTACTTACAGTTCATCCTCTGACTCCTCAACAATCAGCTCTTTCCTTTATCTATCTTGCTTTCCAGACACAAGTATTATGTTGAAGGAAATGGAAGTACTTAATTGTGGTACCTAGCAGGTCAGTGAAACCATCAGAAAGATTAACTTAAATGATCTTACGTGCTATTTCTGCATACCCCCCCCTTCTGTTGGTGTGGAGTAAATTATTGTCTCGAGAGCCATTTTACTCATTATTGCTTTTTCTCTGCGAGAGATGCACCTGTTTCTTCTGTTTTGTTTGTTGGTACATTCAATTCCATTTCATGAATGGCTACACCACTAACCTTGGTATCAGCAAGTATAAGATCTGACTATTTCCTTCTGTTCAAACACTGCTCGTGGGGAAGAGGATACCTGCATGAAAGAAAACTGCACTTTGAGAATGGGGTAGTAGTTTTTAGATGGGCTTTTTCTATACAAACCAGAAAATGGTTCTAAATAAGTCCATGGTAAAATACAGATACTTAATATTGTACTTTCAGCAGAGATGCTGCTGCCCCTTGTTTATTTTACAGACTTCAACAACAACAACAACAAAAGAAAAGAAAGGAAAAAAAAAGAGAAAGGTTAAATGGCTGGTGTCCTCTAGGGCATAATGACAAATTGTGGTACAATATTAAAATGCCACCATCGTTATTGCAAAAGTCTGCTCAAGCGACCCTTCAGCTCCAACAGCGGGACCTCTCCAGCAGAATCTTCTTGCCTACTCACACGCAGCTTGTCTGTAGCACAGCTCGGGCATAATGCTGACACCGGCCAGATGGTATTCAAAACAAGGGGAAAAGATGGAATAATAAAGGTCTAGCGGTCTTGCTCTCATCATCATCATCATCGGTTTGTCATATCTAATCCTCCAATCAGCAGTGATTTTTCAGGAACAAAATGTCCGACAGCTGAGAAAACATACAAGCTATAAACATTTTTTTGTCAAAGGACGCAGCATGTAAAATAATGCCCATTCCTGTAGCATTTTGGCTGCTATTTCCCTGGTGATTGTGATGACACTTTCAGGGGGTAGCCATGCTGAGGGGCAGACGGGGTTAACTTCAGATGGCAAGGAGAAGAGTGGCACTTCTTTTCCTGCTTTTTTTTTTTTAATTTCTGTTATTATTTTTTGTTACGGACATCAGGGAAAGCCCTGCCTGTTAACACTGTAGAGGGGGATTCAGCCCTGCTGAATTCACTCCGGGTAGTTAAGAGACCCAGCTCTTAAACTTGGCTGGAACAGGTAGCGTTTCTCAAACCAGCATGTGCCTGCGGCGGTGGAGCGCCAAGTGATCTGAGCGGGAAAAGCTGCGGTCACAGTCTGCACACTTGAATGGCTTCACTCCCGTGTGCTTGCGGTAATGCCTCGTCAGTTCGTCGGAGCGAGCAAACTTCCAGGTGCAGCCTTCCCAGGTACATTTGTAGGGTTTTTCTCCTGGGAGACACAAAAGAAAGAGGGGAGGGGGGAAAAAACAGGTGGTGACTTTCCCCTTGTTGCTCTTAATCCCCACAACCCCCTCTGCACACTTCCCATGAACACCCACTGCCTAGGGGTTGCTTTAGGCCAAATTACACAATTACGAGGTACCAAATCTGCTGAATATAAGGAAAGGGCCTTGAGATTTATCATTCCTGTGGCATTCACATGACTAAGAAAATCAACAGGATTAAGGCAACAATATAGATCCTACCTTGCAGGGGTGATGCGGGGATTAACGTCAGGACAAAGGGCTGTGTAATTATTCTCGTGATTACCATACGAGTTTGCTACCCTCATCTCATCAGGCTACACTTTCTCCCAAAATGGCCAGATTACCCGATATTTCAGCAATTTATCACAGGCTGCCACAGACTTCCAATTATTTTTATGAAGTTTATGAAAATTCCTAATTATTTGTGTAAACAACACTGCAGGACATTTCTCAGCAAGCTGGTAAAAATGAACTATGATTTCCCAATTAAACATAAAAATTCAATCTGCAAAAAGTCCTCTTTATTTATCGTGCTTACTTTCAGTAAAATTAATTTTGCGTGCAAGATGTTACCAGGAACAGTGTACAATTTTTAAATGTACTCAGCCATGGGACTTGCACAATGCTGTTGATAAATACCCATTTACTTCAATGAGATCAGACTTGGGCTAAGTGTAGATTTTTGGAAAATCTGACCCTCTGCTTTTTATTTAAAGGTAAGCATGACGCTTACCCCATGTTCTGTGTCGTATCATGTCAGACGAGAAGATTAATACAGCAAAACTGGATTTTGTGCTTTCCTAAAGTAAACTCTTATAAAACCCCATTTTTGCCATGTTTGTAGGCTATACTTATTTGTGATTTCTATCACCAGCCCTCAATGTCTACATGTTAAATGCTCTTGGCAGTTACCTTGATCCCACAGTCAAGCATGCACCAAAACTGAGGAAGGGAAACTGTGTGAGGTCCATATGCATCTTCCTGTGGTGTGTCAAAAATGACTTTTTACCTCCCCTTCTGAAACCAGCTAATCATAACCAGGACAACAAAAGAGCATCTCTGCAACAACTGTTTCCTTCGTCAGGCACAATCATTCCTCAGCTATTTATTATCTCTTATGAATCACGAGCAGCTTGCAAGAAACTATTTCAATTACATGAACCAGTGATGCAACACTTGCTTTGTCGTAGGCAGCACCTCCCTCCATGCGTCTCTTCAAAAGTCAATAAATGCTTTGCTGAGAGCCCTTGGTTTCAAAAGAAAATTCCTGAGTAAGAATATCACCACAAAGTTCAAACAGCCCTGAAAAGTCCAGCTGAAATGGCCATGGGTGCCTCTGTAAGGAAATTGGATGCTGTACAGGCATGTCAGCAGGGTTGTCAGCAACATTTGAGCTCCTTGGGTTGGTACCTTCTGTGCACCATCTGGGCTGTGCTGCAGTTTTGATGTCAGACGGGGGTGGGAAACAGTTGCTGTGAGGAGAGCCCAGCAATCCAGGCTCTGAGGTGACCACAGCCCATAGCTGTACCAGCAGCAACTTAGCCTAGATATTTTTACAGCCTCAGCCAAGCACAAAGCACCAAATAGTGTTCATTGCCCCTTGGCAGCCACAGCGTTGGGTGCCTGGAATCCAGCAGCTGCCGCGAGCTGGATGGGCACAAGCTACACGGCAGATGGTGGGTTGCACGCTCTTGCCAATGACAAAGTGCTACAAAACGTGTTCAGATTCACCACCGAACTGTCTTACATACATAGACTTGCCACAAACAGTTGGTGTGGAGCACCGGACAAATATAGCAGTCTCCCCATTTGACTAGGCAGGTCTATCCTAATGGTCTCGTCACACCACATCAATAGCTTCCAAGTGGAGCACTTGCCCTGTCCATCCTCAAAGTACTTTAAAACTCTGTTTTTGTTTAGACTCTGAATACTGCCCCGCTTGGTTTCTTTGACCACAGAGACTTCCGGAGCAAAACAAGGAGGTATTTCCTAAGCTCTGGATCCCCATTTAAAAGCATCTGAAATGCTAAGTCTCTCCCCGCCCCGAGATCCTTCCCCTGCGACAGCCTCTTTGGCACACAAATCCCAGCTCTTCTTTCCCTTGGCAGAAGACAAATGGAGAACCCGATGCAGGGAGGGATGGTTGGTGAAAGGCAAATACCAGAAACAGTTTGTTCGTCCATTAAAACAGTATCCCTTCAGCTAAGAAACAAAAGTCAGCTGATGGAAGGACATGAGCGTGTGTCAGTCGCCTGGAGTTCCCAGGTGTTGCTTCCAGCCTCCCTCCTCAATGAGTCCTGCTTACCCAGCCCCTATAGAGCTATGTGAAAGAGACAGGACTAACCACATTCCTCTCAAGCTATTTACACCACTGAAGGAAAATCGCTCTTACAAGCTCAACCTAAGAAGACCTTTCATTATTTTCAATTAAATATATGTGTATAGCATAAGAAGGAAAAAAACAGGCAAAGTAGCATTACTCTGAAGACGTTCACTCACATGCACCTTAAAAAAGCCACTGTAAAGAAAACTGTGAAAGATACGATTTTTCATTAAGATTAATCAACAACATTTTACGCAGACCTAATTTTTAGGGGAAGAATAATAGTATTACTTTTCTGTTAAACACCCACATTATCATCTGTGGATGGACAGGTGCTAGAAAAAAAAATGTTCTTCTTCCTAGGCAACACTATACTAACTGTTAGCCTTTTGTTTGGCAACATCCGAGACGTGAAGAGTGATCACTGAGTCCATAAGAATGACAGTAAAAAACGGAAGATCCAGGAGTTCAAAGGATGGAGAAAGGACCAGCAGGAGCAGAATTGCTAGCGGATGGGAAGCTGGTGTCAGGTATCCCACACCAGCTTTGACTGATGAGCTTGGGCACTCACAGCTGAAATTATCAGTAGAATCAACAGAGAGAAGCAGGACCTCAGCAGGGCAACCCAGAAAGCGGTAAATGAGGAGGTGGACAAAACTATTTCGTTAATTGGAAGAAACTAGCCCCAGTGCTTATATATATATATTGCCATTTCAAGACTGGATTGCAGTGGAGTTGAAGTCAAATACTCAACCATTTTGACTCAGACACTTCTGCCTCTCTGCAAGCACTTGAGCTTCAGTGTCTAAGAAACTCTCGGGTTCAAAGTGTGGGCACGTTTCGGCTCCTTCAATGGCTCGGCAGCTGCCAGAGCATGAACCACAGAGTTACTGTCATGCACCCAGACACTCAAATTCTCATTCAGCTCTAAGGAGCAAAAGCAGGTGGTGTGAGTCAAGTGGAAACATGGGAATGAAGGAGAAGACAAAAAAGTAGACAGTTTTTGGAAAATGGTAGTAAAGAGAGCTGCAGAAAGAGACTAAGAACCCATGGCAATTAACACGAGGAGAAAAAGAAAACCGGAAAAAGATAAACCCCTGTTAGTTCAATCTTCTGAATCTGTAAGGTTTTAGACTTATAGAAGCTACCCATTTAAAAATAAATGCCTGAAGCTGTGAACATTTTCATGGGAGCTGACCCTCTACTTTTGCACCTGTTTGCCTCGAAACCTGACAAAAAGATCCCAAAACACAGAGAAATTGTATTCTGATGCTATTCCGCAGCTCTGTCCTGCAATACATGGACAGTGAACAGTATGCCATGACAGGCATTTACACGGATCAAGAGGGACCCTGGAGCATGAAAAAGTTCTTCTAGACAGTTCCCTGTGGAAAATGAGTATTTTCTATTGTTTGGGGAAGTTAATTATGAAATTTTAAAGGTATGACTCAATGCCCCAAATGGAACTAGTCATTTTTTTAATCTTCTATTAACAAAACATCTATTTCTAAGAGCCCTCCAAAACCTTGCCTTTTGTAGTCCAGAGGCCACAATCCAAATTAGTTTAATTACTTTTACCATATTATTTTTCCTACCCTACCATGACTCCTCTCACTTAAGCACTTAAGAACATCGTTACAACGGTTACTCATTAAATCTCCCTAAACTCAAGCAAATAATGAATTAATAATACTGAATAATGACCACTGTGTTCAGCCAATCCTTCCAAAATTTTCCACCCTCCCCACAGCCCAACATCTGTCTTCCCATATCCTTATTCAGGTACTCTAACATCCAGAAGATCATTCACCCACAGAAATAAATCTCTCTCAAACTTTTACTTTACAACCCGATGACATTCACATATTCCTTAAAAAAAAACCCTGTATGGGTACCAGCAGGAGACCATGCCATGTAACAGATGAAGGGACCAGGGTTTGTTCTACCCTGGGCAGAATTTCCCATGCGGTACGTTCCTCAGCAGTTATCCCCTGCCCACCAACTAGCTGGTATCATGGTATTTGATGCCAGATGCTTCGAAGACAGGCACCACAAAAACGCCATGTGAATAGTCATGGGTTATTCCGCCAGCGGCGAAACTGCTCTGGAGCTCCAGGAAACAGAGCCAGGCTTATGTTCCCTAGGCAAGGAACTTTATTTACTGCAGTTGCAGATGCCCTATGTACTCCCCGCACACTTGCAGTTCCTTTCATTTGTGTATTATTTAAGCTTCATTTATTCATCAGTTTAGCAGGCTCTTGGCAACCATGTCATTAACTAATGATGAGGTAACACCATCTACTACCAGGACAGAAAACATCCCCGTGATCCAATTCTAAAGCAATTTCTTTCTCTGGCATAAACTCAGCTCGCTCTCTGGTATTATAGGTGAGTGCCATGACCCTTCTTATTTGTGTCCTCTTCAGACATTCCCATCTATCCAATTTTTCTGCACATGTAATTCTCACCATGACTCTGAGTTATTACATCACTTCTCTGTAGCCCCCTCCTGCAACAGTACTTAGCATTTTGAAATACTGGTAACATTTTTATTCCAAGTAAGAGTCAACTAGAAAATACACATAAGGGACTGTTCAGGGGTACAGGCTTAGCCACCTAGTCAGATTTTTCTGTATTTAA